CCTTCCAGTCCTCAGTCCCCAGTCCTGCAGACCTCCAGGAGGCCAGTAGCAAGATGTTGAAGCGGTTCCCTTTGCGACTGTGGCAGCTTGGCGGTCATGAAGCCTCGCATGTCAAGGGGGCCCCACAACTCCATGGAGTGCGGGACTGCATACAGAAGTTCATGACAGGGATGGGGTGTGAGACACACAAGTTCCCGCTGGAGATTCTGTTTGATTGGCCAACTGCGTGGAAATCGTCTAGCCCTGCACCGGGGTCATTGATCCAGGCCTTCAGTGTTGCAGTCAGCATTGGGACGACTGTTACCATGGCATGCCATCTTCTCGCCTATGCTGCGATGAAGCTTGATTGGTTGAACAGTCCAACAGTCCTGGACCATGTCAAGAAGGATGTGGCGGGCCGATTGATGAGCTGTCTCTGCAACTGGGACATGATGGACACATGTGAGAAAACATTTAATTTCCAGTTTGAGTTCCTGTTTCAACCTGCTTGAATGAGATGTGGACTGCAGGTATCTTCGGCACCTGCAGTCCTCAGTCCTCAGTCGAGCAGCAGTCCATGGAGAGTTTGCGCATTAAGACGGATGCAAGTGCAAGAAGCAGGCCCTCGATCATTAACATGCACTTCCTGTCTGGGTCTAAGTCACCAGATATATGCAGAAGTGTGAATGACTGCTCTTGTGGTAAGTGTGTGTGTGTGTGTGTGTGTGTGTGTTGCTCTTTGTGACAATGCTGTTGTTCCTTGTGGACCTTAAGGTTCGACAAGATTGTGGCAGCGAAGGTGGCAGCAGGATCCCGCAAACTTCGGAAGGACATGATGACAGAGGCGATCAACCGACACAACAAGAGCACTGTTTCGAAGTCCCGCATAAACCCCGATGAGATTGCTGCCATTCAAGTTTATGATTTGGCACCAGCACATGTTCGTCGGATGCTCAAGTTGGTGTGGGGTACAGAAGCGCCGCATCACACTGCTGTTCCCTTGTCGTGCATTGCACAGCCGTTTCCTGGTCCATGTGGAATTTATATTTGTTTGTTTGGTGTGTGCACTTGAGTCTCTGAGTTTAAGTGTTAAAAGTCCCAGAAACCAATCCAAACAACAGCCCAGGTTCTTTAACCCGACCAAGCAGCTGAGTGGCAACCTGAAGGTCTCGCCTACCGGTAACCCAGTTCCTGGATAAGCATTCAAGTATTGTCCTGTTTCAGGGCTGGAGTCATTTGCAGTGTTGAGATATCCATTTTGATTTTGGTTTCAGTCCCATTCTAACCTTTGTATTTCGGAGCCACTACTACTAGAACGACTACAACCGACTTCCACTACCATTACTAGTACTACTACTATTACTACTACTACTACTACTACTACTACTACTACTACTACTACTACTACTACTACTACTACTACTACTACTACTAACACATTTAGCTATGAACTCAGAGCAAGGTCTGGCATGAGATTGTGAAGTTCTCTTGGGAAAAGATCGAGGAGATGTTGCAGAGACTGCAGGCTAAGTGGAATGGCAAGATCCAGGAGTATGTCGACAGGCAGCAGCCACCCCCAATTCATCAGTCATCCATCTGTGCAGGGTTCCGTGATTCTGGCAGAGAGTCCCAAGTCTACCTGATGGCCTGTGTCATGGTGCACTTTAAGGACCAGATGATGAAGGATATGAGTCCGGACGAGTACCACAAGATGATGTCCCATTGGCGACTGGGACACTTGGACCAGAAGCTCTTCCCGGACGTGGCAGCCATGAGGCCAGACTTCAGCTTGACCGATTTGGGGCTCCGGATGCAGCAAGAAGAGGCCAGCAACAGTCTTGCAGTCTTGCAGTCCTCTGACCTGGTGGAGGATGAAGCTGCTCAGGAGGCAGTGCGCTGTCTGACAAACCTTGCACGGTCCCTCAAGAGAGAGCAGGATGAGATGCGAGGCCATCGTGTGGCTTTCCAACGACACATGGTGCAGACAGTGGCAGCCGAAGCCGAGTACCAGAAGTCCATTGCAGAGGGGGTGGAAAGTGCATGGGGTGAGCACTCGATCTACTATCAGGTGAATGCCAGCAAGACATTGGGAGTGGGGCAGGCTTTCGAACATGCGACACACAGGACACTTGCCAGTCGTTTGATGCAGGATGTCAAGCAGATTCCAGTCATCACTGTGATCAACATTCCCATGTTGGGTGCTGCTGCATCATCATGTGTGACGGCTATGGTGGGTCACATGGCTTCGGAGCTCCAGCAGTCCTGCAGTCTTGCAGTCTACCTGATCATTCCACCCAACCAGGTTGCGTTCGGACTGGGAAAGCTTACCAAAGCTGAGCGCGAGGACAAGGTGGCTGCCCACCAAGCAGTCTGGAAGTCCGAGATTGAAAGTGTTGCTGAGATCAAGCTGATGAAGGCCACTGCACTGTTTGATCACGAGTCGATGTACAGTGATGAGCGAACACTTGGAGTTGAGCTATGGGTTGTCGTTTCAGCAGCTGCAGACACGAATGTGTTTCAGTCCTCAGTCTTGCTGAAAAGGAAAGCCATTCCAGGACTGGTGAGCTGTTTCCCGAGACAGTCCATGAAAAACTTCGCGAAGGACATGTCGTTTGTGACGGGTGGCAAAACAAACGGTGATCAAGACCTTGAGCGTGCCAGGGCAGAATTTCTACTGTGGGGTTGGTACAGTGTGTCAGTCTTAATAATAATTGATCAAGTTTCACATGATTGTGTCAATGTTTTTTTGGCATTGAGGCAAGCAGTGGTACTCTGGGGCAGGCTTTCTGGCAGAGGTGATCTCATCCCTTGTGAAGGGCACGAAGCTGACAAACAAGCACACGGTGTTGGTACGCGATGAGTCGCTCTACGATGCTGAGCTCAGTCTTGCAGTTGCCAACATGAATGCTGTGAAGAATGGCACTTTCCCCAGGTTCGCCTATGTTGGGATCGCATGGGCTGGCAATGCACAGGTCAAGGATCAGATTGTCTCGAATGTGGAGGAAGTGTTCACTGAGCATGTCAAAGCTGCCATTGCCAGGAATGAGTACGGTCCTGTTGCACTTCCACCCTCGCTACTGTCTCGGCCAGTCTTGCAGAACAGCAGTCCCCCAAGCCTGAAGTTGGATCTGTTTGAGCTCACCCAGCCCACTGGAAACAACGAGCTGCACTGGCTTCGGGAAACCATCACCAAAGCTAAGTCATGTGGAGAGGTGTTGCTTCCTGACAGTGAGGTTTGGAAAGGCCTTGGGTGGAGCCAGCTCTTCGAGAAACACAACCAGGAGTTCAATCCCCAAGAGGTGATCCGTGCTAAGCGTGCTTCCGAGACAGAGGTGGGAGTGTCCCTTGCTGGCATTGTTTGTTGATTGATCCTTTGCTTCAAACAGTGTAAAAGTGTTTGTGCATGTGCTGTGACCCAGGTTGCAGCAGGACAACACTGCCGAGACAGTCTTGTCGTCAGTCTTGCAGTCCTCAGACCTCGAGCATATGGGGAAATGCCAGGTGCCAGGCCTGACAACCCATGAGTTCTGGGTGAACTCCCGTGGTGACTTGTATGTCAAGGGCCTCACAGACTGCATTCTTGAAGGAGCGCAGTTCCAGATCCATGGATTTTTCAAGACGGGGCGGGAGGCTTCGGAGCTGATCAGCAGTTCGGAAGGTGCTGTTTATGCTTACAAATTGACCGAGGATTCACAGGTGCTGCTTCGACCCAAAGCCGGCAAGAATTTGCCACCCAGTGTTCAGCAGTTTTCGAACAAGGGTGGGGCAATCAAGGATATCTTGAATGCCTTGTTAGTGGCAGGCCTCCCGAAGCCCTCGATCCACCTGCATTCCTGCGAGAACACAGTCAATGGCAACAACGTGGAGTGGAAGATCCTTGCATTGGAGCCGGCGTGCTTGAAACCCAGTGTCGAGGAGGCCCCAGAGGACCCGCATATGAAGTTCCCCCCACCAGTCGTGCCGCATGCGAAACTGTCCAGTTTTGTGGCCCTGAACTCTTTGTCACAATTCGATGTGCTGTTTTGTTTGGAATACGATGATCAGGCCAACAAGCTGAAAGGCATGATGCCTCAGGCAGTCATGAAACGCAAGGCCAGGATTTCAAAGGATTCCATTGCCAAGTTGTGAGTGGCAGTCTTGCAGTCCTGCAGTCAGGCAAGCTTGGTGTTTCCAGTAATGAGTCATAAGGATAGCACAAACTAACTTTTCAGTTTAGAGTCCAGATTCATTCAGTGTTTCATCAATCTTTGTATGCCAAGCATTTTGTGCCTTGTCTGCAAGCTGATACAAGACACTCGAGTCAGCAATAAGCTGTTCGGAGCTGCGCTTCATCTTGATTGCAAAAACAATCTGCACTGCTGCATTTGTCGTTCTGAGTGTGCGTCTTGCAAACCATAGGATTCAAGACCCCGGCACCTTTGTAAGACACCGACCTTTTCGAGACACCCCACTATGCACTATTCAAGTCTAAAGCACCTCTCACTGAGAAGCTCTTTGGCCTAAAACCCCAAAACCCTACACCCTAAATTAAAACCCTTAGTCTAAACTTACTGCGCCAAGGTCGGCCTCCAGCTCGGCCGCCAGCGGCCACGCACAGGCCAGCAGCCACAGCAGCCGGAGTGAGAGGCTCTTTGGTGTGAGCTGGGCTTCTTAGTTAAGCAGTCTTCAGTCCTGCAGTTTACAAGGGGCCCATATGTTCTTAAATAGTACATAATATATATATATATATATATATATATATATATATGTATGTAGTTGTATGTACTATATGGAAACTGCAGGACTGAGGACTGTCCGGGGTTTTGAAAGTCTCTACATGAGACTCCCGGGTGTGAAGGCTGTGGCTTCGGAGCTCCAGGTTCAGCAGTCTAGCAGTCCTGCAGTCCACCACATTATTCTACTAGGGGACCCATAACATACTATAAAATAGGGGTTGTACTGAGGACTGCAAGACTGTAGACTGCGGTTTTGGCCTGAGTTACCGAGCCTCAAGCTACCCTTACAAGCTTACAAGGCTTCCATGGTACTGTTGCGTGCCTAAGTTGGCACATGTGTTCAGCGGTTTTCGTCCAAGGGTGGACATTGAAGGATGCTTTCCTAGAGGCAAGCCTCCCAAAAGTCTGCAAAACTGCAGACTTGCCTTACGGGCCTTGCACTATGGGCCTGAGAGGTCTTCAGCTGCCACTACTAGTGGCTTTTGGCTTTTTCGTAGCAGCTTGCAGGGCTTGAAGTGCTTCAGTGAGTGTCGAAGAAGAGTTTGTGAAGCCCTACTGAGCCTCTTAGTTTTACAGTCCAACAGTCTTGCAGTCCACCAATACTAGTTTAATTATGGGGACCTATATCGATAACATAGGGGTGCCTACTGAGGACTGCAAGACTGCTGTACTGTACAGGGCCTCAAAAGGTCTCTTTGCAGGGAGCCTCTTAAAGACTTCTTTACAGTCTATCAGTCTCGCAGTCCACCCATATTATTCTAATTTTGGGGCCTATGCTATAAGATCTATAAAATAGGGGTGCTTACTGAGGACTGCAAGACTGATAGACTGCACAGGGCCTCAAAAGGTCTCTTGGCAGGGAGCCTCTTGGAGACTCTTAGACTCTAAACCCTTAATCCCTAAGTTACAGTCTAACAGTCGTGCAGTCCACCCATACTATTCTAATTTTGGGACCTATACCTAATACTAGGGGTGCTTACTGAGGACTGCAGGACTGGTAGACTGTACATGGCCTCAAAAGGTCTCTTGGCAGGGAGCCTCTTGGAGACTCTTAGACCTAAACCCTTAATCCCTAAGTTACAGTCTAACAGTCGTGCAGTCCACCCATACTAGTCTAATTTTGGGACCTATACCTATAATGGGGGTGCTTACTGAGGACTGCAGGACTGGTAGACTGTACATGGCCTTGACAAGCTTCTTTGCAGGCAGACTCTTAATTTACAGTCTAACAGTCTTCCAGTCCTTCTATATTAAGTTGAGGGACCTAATAACCATTCTTAGGGGTGCTTACGCTAAGGACTGCAAGACTGGTAGACTGTACGTGCCAGGCACTCAAAAAGGTCGGATTGCTCCCGGCAGCCTTCGAAAGGCCTCTTATGCAGCCTAACGGTCTTGTTTAAGCTTGGTCCTGTAATATTATAGGATTATCCTAGAGATATATATATATATATGTATATTATAAATACAGACACATGTAGCTGGAGCTTCTTATGGAACAGCAAGACTGCTAGACTGTGCATGAGGCCTACCTTAAGGGGCAGCCAACCCTGAACAGTAACAGTAGTCAATAGTAGTAGTTTTTTCCTCCATTGTCGCACAGAAGTTGTTTCACACTGAGTGTTGTCGCAGTTTTTGGCCTCTGACAGCACAAACTAGCCGTCCTCAGTCCTGCAGTCTTGCAGTGGCAATGGACAGGGACATCTCTCCGGACCGGCGAGTACTAACAGACTTTGAGAGAGTCCTCAAACGAGTCAGGGTGGTTGCAAGCATGAAGAAATCCGAGGAGTACCAGCGTGCGAAGCTCTTGTTGCTCAACAAGGACATGCAGTCTACCCCTCCGGGGGATCCACCCGTTACACCACGCGTCTACGTGAGCGGCGTTTCGAAACGTACCTGGGAGCGTCAGTGGTACGTGTTCAAAAGCAGAGTTCGTGCATACGCAGAGTGGGTCGATTTGATGACCTAATAATTCGTTGCAGTCCTCAGTCTTGCAGTCCTCTGTCCTACAGTTGATAGGATAGCAGGACAACCACTGTATGGGCTGATAATTCTTACACAGAATGCAAGACTGAGACTGCCTGCATATCACAGAGACACATCCGATGTGTTAGAAAATTACAAGTCAGGAAGTGCAAGCAACAGGCAGCGAGAAAATGTGTGAGTGTGTCAGCCTCGGGATTGGTTGTGATAGGTTAAGGGCCAAATGAAAGCCCAAATCGGTATCTTACTTACCTTTTGCTGATATCTTAGTTGTCTTGCCGAAGCCTTTTAAATTATTTCCTTTACAAAATAATTTAAATAATTTAAATAAATTAAATTCGGCTTATTTAAAATATTTAAATTATTTAAAATATGTTTCAAAAGAAATTTTTTCAAATAATTTAATAATTTAAATTATTTAAATTATTTCCTGTAAAAAATAGTTTAAATAATTTAAATAAATTAAATACAGCCTATTTAAATTATTTAAATTATTTAAATTATTTCCGTTAAAAAATAATCTAAATAATTTAAATACTTTGAATAGTTAGTTAGCTATCCTAAAACAACCTTTCCAGGACTATTTAAATAATTTAAATAATTTAAATAATTTACATATTTTAGATATTTAAATTATTTAAATTATTTCCTTTACAAAATAATTTAAAAAAATTAAATACAGCTTATTTAAATTATTTAAAATATTTAAATTATTTAAATTATTTAAATAGGGTGGAAACCTTCTAACCAAATGTGACAGCCGTATTTAAATTATTTAAATTATTTAAAATATTTCCTGTACAAAATAATTTGAATAATTTAAATAAATTAAATACAGCTTATTTAAATTATTTAAAATATTTAAATTATTTAAATTATTTAAATAGGGGGGAAACCTTCTAGCCAAATGTGGCAGCCGTATTTAAATTATTTACATTATTTAAAATATTTCCTTGACAAAATAATTTAAAGAATTTAAATAATTTAAAAAGTTAGTTAGCTATCCTAAAGCAACCTTTCCAGGACTATTTAAATAATTTAAATAATTCAAATAATTTAAATATTTTAAATGATTTAAATATTTAAATTATTTAAATTATTTCCTTTACAAAATAATTTAAATAATTTAAATAAATTGAATACGACTTATTTAAATTATTTAAATTATTTAAAATATTTAAATTATTTAAATTATTTAAATAAGGTGGAAACCTTCTAACCAAATGTGACAGCCGTATTTAAATTATTTAAATTATTTAAAATATTTCTTTGACAAAATAATTTAAATAATTTAAATAATTAAAATAGTTAGTTAGCTTTCCTAAAACAACCTTTCCAGGACTTTTTAAATAATTTAAATAATTTAAATAATCTAAATAATGTAAATATTTTAAATGATTTAAATATTTAAATTATTTAAATTATTTCCTTTACAAAATAATTTAAATAATTTAAATAAATTAAATGCGGCTTATTTAAATTATTTAAATTATTTAAAATATTTAAATTATTTAAATTATTTAAATAGGGTGGAAACCTTCTAACCAAATGTGACAGCCGTATTTAAATTATTTAAATTATTTAAAATATTTCTTTGACAAAATAATTTAAATAATTTAAATAATTAAAATAGTTAGTTAGCTTTCCTAAAACAACCTTTCCAGGACTATTTAAATAATTTAAATAATTTAAATAATCTAAATAATGTAAATATTTTAAAAGATTTAAATATTTAAATTATTTAAATTATTTCCTTTACAAAATAAGTTAAATATTTTAAATAAATTAAATACGGCTTATTTAAGTTGTTTAAATTATTTAAAATATTTTAAATTATTTGAATTATTTAAATAAGGGGGGAAACCTTCTAACCAAATGTGACAGCCGTATTCAAATTATTTAAATTATTTAAATTATTTCCTTGACAAAATAATTTAAATAATTTAAATGTTTGTTTTTTTTTAAATATTCCCGAAAGCATCGCGAAGGGTTCTTCCGTGTGGAACGCCGCAGCTGAGTACATAGATGACAGACATAGAATCAACTTACTTGACTCCATACTTTTCTCTACACTCTACACTTGATACTTGACTCTACACTTGATACTTACTTACTTACTTGACCCCTATGACTGACTCTCTACACTTGACACTTGACTCTATGATACTTGACTCTACACTTGATACTTGACTCTATGTTATGCTTACTACTTACTTACTTACTTACTTACTTCAATCTACTTACTAACTTACTTGACACTTGACACTTGACACTGGACTCTATGTTATGCTATCTCTATACTTACTTACTTACTTACTTGACTTGCTTACTTATACTTACTATACTTACTATACTTACTACTTACTGACTTACTTACTGACTCTACTTACTTACTTATGATTACTTACTTATGACTGACTCTCTATGCATCTATTTGCATCTATGACTTACTATGACTTATGACTTATGACTTATGACTTACTCTCTACATCTCGGTATCTTAATATTTCTTTTAAAGGCGGGGGTGGCACCGTCGGGGTCCATCGGGAATGCAACCCTTCACAGGGATTCGCCTCCTCGGGCGTTCAAACGCGAGGTAAAGTTACACATTTTGCGGTGCCCGCGCAACCCTTCCCAGGGATTCGCTGCCTCGGGCGTTCAAACGCTAGGTAAAGTGACACATTTTAGGCGCACCGCGCAACCCTTCCCAGGGATTCGCTGCCTCGGGCGTTCAAACGCTAGGTAAAGTTACACATTTTAGGCGGCCGGCGCAACCCTTCACAGGGATTGGAACTCTCGGGCGTTCAAACGCGAGGTAAAGTTACACATTTTGCGGTTCCCGCGCAACCCTTCACAGGGATTGGGAACTTGGGCGGTCAAACGCGAGGTTTAAAGTTACACAGTTTAGAGCGCGCCGCGCAACCCTTCACAGGGATTCGCCTCCTAGGAGTTCAAACGCGAGGTTAAAGTTAACACTTGATTGGGGCGCCGCGAACCTGCACAGGGATTCGCCTCTCGGGGTTCAAACGCGGGTAAAGTTTTACAACTTTTGAGGGCGCCGCGCAACCCTTCAACCAGGGGTTTGGGTGCCGTTTCAATTTTTTTGGCAAACCCTTCACAGGGATTTGCATTTGCAACCCTTCACAGGGATGGCGTGGTCGGTGTTTCGAAGCGAGGAAAGTTGCCATTTTTTGATGCATTGAAATGGAATTTTTGAAAACCATTTCACAAGGATGGCGGGGTGGGAGTGTTGCGAACGCGAAGTAAAGTGCAAGTTTTGATGAGCATTGAAGATGAATATTTTGCATACCCTTCACCCCCACAAGGATTGGCGTGGTTGGAGTGTTCGAACGCGAGGGTAAATGGTTGAATTTTTGATGAGAATTGAGAGTAATTTTGCAACCCCTCACAGGGAATTGGGCGGTGGTCGAGTGGTTTGAACGCGAGGTTAAAGTTGCAATTTTGATGAGCATTGAGAGGAATTGTTGCAACCCTTCACAGGGGAAGTGGGTGGTGGGTGGAGTGTTAGACACGCGAGGTTAAAGTTGATTTTGTGAGCATTGAAATGAAATTTTGCAACCCCTAACAGGGATTGGCTGTGGTCGAGTTATACAAGTATTTTAGTTATCCCATCTATTATGCCTTTGCCAATCCCTCTGACAAGTTGCCACTTGACCTGTTGAGTCAGGCTCTGAGCCCTCACGCTAGGCGGATCTTGATTAAGCGTTCCCACACACAGGGCATAGAGTGAACTACATCGAGTCAAGTGTATGGTACAAAGATGACTCCACGTCTCCGTGACTCTATCTCACTACAACTCTATGACTTTATGAATCATGACCCATGGACTCTATGACTCTTGATTCTGTGACTTTACGATCCTATACAGTGACTCTATCTCACTACGACTCTATGACTCTATGTCACTACAACTCTATGACTTTATGACTCATGACCCATGGACTCTATGACTCTTGATTCTGTGACTTTACGATCCTATACACTGGATCTACCACATAACCCCACAATCTTCGCTGATGATGCTTTCGGGCCAATTGCCTTCTAGTTTTAAATATTTAAATTATTTGATTTGTTTAAATTATTTAAATAGGGACGGAAACTGTTTTTTCACTCCAAGGGAGGGTGAGGGGAGGGGGGGGGCAGGGAGGGAGGAGGGGAGGGAGGGAGGGAGGGAGGGAGGGAGGGAGGGGGGGAAGGGAGGAAGGAAGGGCAAGAGAGGGAGGGTGAGGGGAAGGCAGGGGAGGGAGGGAGGAAGGGAGCAAGGGAGGGAGGGAAGAGGGAGGGAGGGAGGGATGCAGGAGACAGGGCGGGAGGAAGGTCCCTCCCCTCCCCCACTCCCTCCCTTCCCAAACCTGAGAGTTTAGGGCCTAAGCCACCCTCCCCCCCGCAGCCCCATCTCCATCCCTTCCTCCACCCTTCCACCCCCTACCCCCCCCCTGCCTCCCCTCCCCCTTGCCCTGCCCCCGCCCCTCCCCCCACCACCCGACCCCTAATCCAGCCCTCTACCGGACCCCTTCCCCTCCCATCACCCCCTCCATCTCCTCACAGCCCCGTTGTCCCTTGCCCTCTGCCCCCTGCCCCGTGCCACCACCCAACCACGCCCCCACCCCACCCACCACGAAAATTTGATGCTATCGAACCGCTGTGTTTTCCAAGGCGCGGTTCGATAGCACCAAATTTTCTGAAAGGAGCCGCTTCCGAAAATTTGGTGCTATCGAACCGCTGTGTTTTCCAAGGCGCGGTTCGATAGCACCAAATTTTCTGAAAGGAGCCGCTTCCGAAAATTTGGTGCTATCGAACCGCTGTGTTTTACGAGGCGCGGTTCGATAGCACCAAAATTTCTGAAAGGAGCCGCTTCCGAAAATTTGGTGCTATCGAACCGCTGTGTTCTACAAAAGGCGCGGTTCGATAGCACCAAATTTTCGGAAGCGGCTCCTTTGAGAAAATTTGATGCTATCGAACCGC